TATTTCTAGTTTGCAATATTGGTTTTATCTTATCTTTGACTACACTTGTTTCCCCACTACGGCTCCTGTCCCCTATGAGGTCATTTATATGTATTCCTTCCTGCGTATAATTCCCTGGACAAAATCTCCAGTTTCACCATTACTGTCTCCCAGGACAGCACCTCCAGCTTCACCATTACTGTCTCCCAGGACTAATCGCTTTATTTTCCTGAGTCCTTTGCTTTCTGTACTTTTCCCATTCTCTAGAGCACTTAGTTTTTGCCTCCCTACACCTTTGGGAAAACCAAGGGCTCGTTCTGTCCTTCCCATTATTTCTGTCACCCTTGGGAACAAACCTTTCCTCTGCCGTCTTGCATTTCATTTACTGATTTTCCTACTAACTCCTGTTCCCACTGAACCTCCTGCAGGAAGGTCCTCATTCCTGTGTAGTCCCCCATTTTATAGTTTGGCTTTTTCCTTTCTACTCTTGTTACCCTCTCCACTTTTAGCTCCACGATGTATTCAAAGCTCACAACCATGTGGTCACTAGCTCCAAGAGGCCTTTCATATGTAATGTGCTCAATGTCTGAGTTACTCAGGGTGAACACAAGGTTCAGTCTTGCTGGTTCATCCTCCCCTCTCTCTGGTAGTGTCCCTAACATGTTGGTGCATGAGGTTTGCCAGCACCACATCCATCATCTTGGCTCTCCATGTTTTGGGACCCCCATGTGGTTCCAGGCTTTCCCAATCAATCTCCCTGTGACTGAAGTCGCCCATGACCAGTAACTTCGCTCTACTCGAGTGAGCCCTTCTTGCCACCTCAGCTAGTGTATCCACCATTGCTCTGTTGCACTCAGCTTATTTTTCTCTTGGCCTCCTGCAGTTCTGTGGTGGGTTATACATCACTGCAATGACTACCTTGTGTGCCCCTGACTGAACTGTACCTACTATGTAACCCTTCTCCAATCTTGTCCATTCCTTCCATTTCTTGATAGCCCCACTGGTTTTTAATTAGCAGTGCAACCCCTCCTCCCCCTCTGCTCCTTCTGTCCTTCCTCAGGATCTGATATCCGGATGGGAAGATTGCATCTGTTATTATCCCAGTGAGTTTTGTTTCTGTAACCGCTATGATGTCTGGGAACATCTCCTTGATTCTTTTATGCCACTCCTCACATTCATTTGTTATTCAATCCACATTCATGTACCAAACCTTCAACTTCTTTTCTATAACTGTGGTCTGATGAGAAAGGTGGGTTAGGGGAAGCAGGTGCCCTGGCAGGGGCCTATAAGGGGTTGCTGTGGGGGTGTGGGTCTGTGGTGTGGATGTGGGGCAAAGGGCCTAGAGGGGATTTCAGTGGGGGTGGGGTTGGGGAGAGGGGCCTATGGGGGTTTACAGTGGGGGTGGGGGTTGTGGTGAGGGGGATGGGGTTAGGGGTGCAGTGTGTGGGTTGCTGTGGGTTACTGTGGGGGTGGGGTTTGTGCAAGGGGGATGTGTGGGTTACTGTGGATTTCTGTGGGGGTGGGGTTTGTGCTGAGGGGGATGGGGGCAGAGGGTACAGTGAGTGGGTTTTGGGTTAGGTTGTTTGATTGCTTTGGGATTGCCATGGTTGTGTTCCTTCTGTGGGTGGTACTGGAGGGGGTTGTGTTTGTTCTTCCACCTGGGCCTGATTTCTCCTGCTTCCCACCTTCCTTGCTTCCCATTCCTCCTTGCGACATTGCACCCTCTCTTTCAGTATCATCCTTTCTTCTTGTGTTCTGTCTCAGTCGAAGTACACACTTTGGAACTCCTGATTGGCCCTTAGGTCCTGTAGGATCCGGTTTCGAGCTGACTCTGCCTTGAAAATCACTTTGACTGGATTGTTTTTTCCTCTTGCAAACTACCCAATTCTCCGAAAATTTGTCAACTGGGTCATGTCGTCCTCTCCTATTGCTTTCATGATGCTCTCAATCGTTTTTTTCTCCTCCTGTTTCCTTGCCTCGTAAGTTTCCCCACCTACTTCTTGGAGCCCATAGACAAAAACGGCCCTCTCCCTTTCATCCTCCCACTGTACTTCCCTGAGCATCCTCTGATACGAATTAGTTTCTGCCATTGATGCATTGCTTTCTACTGTCTCTTCCCTATCTGGTGCCCCTGTGTTTATCTGTTCTTGGACATGGCAGTTGTCTGTTAGAGCCTCTGTATAGCCCAGCTCCTTCATTGTCTTTAGTCCTCTCATTAGTTCCTGCTGCTCTCCCTGCCTTTTCCCAGGCTTCCCTTGGGTCCGATAGTCATCACATACAATATATCTCCTTTGTTCCCTACTGTCCCCTCCTTGGTGACTGAGTATCAGATCTTGGTGTCATGGCTGTACTGTCCTTTGGTTCTTTAGGCTGTTTCAGTCTTTTTAGTTCTTCTTCTAAGCTCTGTATCTTAGCTTCAGCTGCTGTGATTTGTAATAACCTTTTCCTGCTCTCCTCAGCTATTTTCTCTTCCATTTTCTTGCCGAGCTCTTTTAGCCTCCTCCCCCACTTCTCTCTTCTCGTGAGCTCTGCCTCCCAGTCTTCTCTCCCAGGTTTACCCCTCTCTTCATCCACCATTCCTCTGGTTCTCTGTCTGGGTTTTTGGTGTCCCATGTTTCTTTTCCACAGAAGGAAGAGTTTATGCCAGGAGTGCTGTGTGGAGGGGGGTGTTTGTTGTGGGGAGGGAGGGGGGTTTGTTGTGGGATTAAGCAGGGAGGGGAAAAGGATAGTGAGCTGGAGGGGGGGACAGCAGCAGAGGGAAGAGAGATTGGGGAAGACTAAGGGGGACAGGGGGAAGAGCAATGGGGGGGAGGGGAGTAGGAGGAGTAGGGAGGATGAAAAGGAAGACGAAGAGGGAGAGAAAGTGGGATAAAGAGAGATAGTGTGATTGAATGCGAGTTAGAGAGTGAGTTAGAGAGTGAGTTAGAGAGTGAGTTAGAGAGTGAGTTAGAGAGTGAGTTAGAGAGTGAGTTAGAGAGTGAGTTAGAGAGTGAGTTAGAGAGGAGAGAGAGAGTTAGAGAGAGAGTTAGAGAGAGAGAGTTAGAGAGAGAGAGTTAGAGAGAGAGAGTAGAGAGAGTTAGAGAGAGAGAGTTAGAGAGAGAGAGTTAGAGAGAGAGAGTTAGAGAGAGAGAGTTAGAGAGAGAGAGTTAGAGAGAGAGAGTTAGAGAGTGAGTTAGAGAGTGAGTTAGAGAGTGAGTTAGAGAGTGAGTTAGAGAGTGAGTTAGAGAGTGAGTTAGAGAGTGAGTTAGAGATAGTGAAGTTAGAGAGTGAGTTAGAGAGTGAGTTAGAGAGTGAGTTAGAGAGTGAGTTAGAGAGTGAGTTAGAGTGAGTTAGAGAGTGAGTTAGAGATGAGTTAGAGAGTGAGTTAGAGAGAGAGTTAGAGAGAGAGTGTTAGAGAGAGAGAGTTAGAGAGAGAGAGTTAGAGAGAGAGAGTTAGAGAGAGAGAGTTAGAGAGAGAGAGTTAGAGAGAGAGAGTTAGAGAGAGAGAGTTAGAGAGAGAGAGTTAGAGAGAGAGAGTTAGAGAGAGAGAGTTAGAGAGAGAGAGTTAGAGAGAGAGTTAGAGAGAGAGTTAGAGAGAGAGTTAGAGAGAGAGTTAGAGAGTGAGTTAGAGAGTGAGTTAAAGAGTGAGTTAAAGAGTGAGTTAAAGAGTGAGTTAGAGAGTGAGTTAGAGAGTGAGTTAGAGAGTGAGTTAGAGAGTGAGTTAGAGAGTGAGTTAGAGAGTGAGAGAGTGAGTTAGAGAGTGAGTTAGAGAGTGAGTTAGAGAGTGAGTTAGAGAGTGAGTTAGAGAGTGAGTTAGAGAGTGAGTTAGAGAGTGAGTTAGAGAGTGAGTTAGAGAGTGAGTTAGAGAGTGAGTTAGAGAGTGAGTTAGAGAGTGATTAGAGTGAGTTAGAGAGTGAGTTAGAGAGTGAGTTAGAGAGTGAGTTTAGAGAGTGAGTTAGAGAGAGAGTGAGAGAGTGAGTTAGAGAGAGAGTGAGAGAGTTAGAGAGAGAAAGAGGAAGGGAGTGTTAGTGTGTGAAGCTTGAGAGTTGGGTAGGATCAGCCTTTAGTGTGCTTGCAGGCCTAGGAGGCGAAGGGAGAGAGAGGAGAAGGAAGGGGAGGTGAGGGGGGAGATGGAGGAGGTGCAGGAGGAGGGAGGGATAGTGGAAAGGGGGAGAGGGAGAGAAAGTGAATAGGAGAGGGAGAGAGAGATAGAGATAAAAGGAAAGAGAGTAAGAGAGTGAGAAGGAAGAGGAGGTGAAGGGGGAGGAGGTGTAGGGGGAGGAGGTGTAGGGGGAGGAGGTGTAGGAGGAGGAGGTGTAGGAGGAGGAGGTGTAGTGGGAGGAGGTGTAGGGAAGGAGGTGTAGGGGGAGGAGGTGTAGGAGGAGCAGCAGGAGGAGGAAGGGGTAGTGGAATAGGAGAGAGAGAGAGAGAGAGAGGTAGAGAGAGAGAGAGTAGAGAGAGAGAGAGAGAGAGAGAGAGGTAGAGACAGAGAGGTAGAGAGGTAAAAGGAGTGTGTGGGTGTTGGAGTGGGTATGAGAGATGTATCCATTAGGGTAGGACTACAAGTGTGTGTTTGAGAATTTATGGCCCTCTTATTTTCACGTGTGTGTGTGTGTGTGTGTGTGTGTGTGTGTGTGTGTGTGTGTGTGTGTGTGTGTGTGTGTGTGTGTTACTATCCTGCCACCCGAGCCAAGCGAGGGGAGAGGGAGGAGGAGAGGGACATTTCCCCTTGAACATCAGTAAAAATAATATTGCTGCTGTAGGTAAAATAGAAGAACATAGCAAAGCAAGCTGTTATTTTGACAGCTTTTTGCTCATTCATGAGCTATTTTACAAGCATAATGACTTGAAGAGCTACTCTGCTTGTATCACTGTATCTTATGAACTATAGCAGGTTCAAATAGTCTCCTGACGACTATAGTTTAGAAAATACTCTTTTAGCAGAAGAAACATAGATTGCTTTTATTGATAAAACTATACACAGGGCAAATGTTGCTCCAGTGAAAGCTATTTTGCAACAACTTGCACTACCACTCTTACAGATTGGGTACCTTTTCTTCACGGACATCCTGGAGTTGAACTGCACCCTCACCATTGACCCCAACAACACCCTGCCTAAGGGACTTGGGATTGTCAACGCAACTACCATCATGAGATTGGTCTGCTCCACCAGCCTCAATGCCGCTCTCAAGTACTGCGGGAACACCTCCTATGTTGGTTATCAGATGAACGGAGAGGGTATGTGGATCCCGTGTTTGTTAATTTTATCCATTCTACTGTGTACATTGTGCTTTTTTTTCTGAGTTCCAAGTGACCCACCTGGTCATGGTGGGTCACTTGGAACTCAGCTGGTACTATGGTAATGGCATCTAAGTGGCGGTGGTGGAAATGAACATGATAGGTGGTGGTTGGGATCAGGGTTAGAAAGATGAATGTAATACCACATTATTGACAAGTATGACTTTGAATACACAAGTTTCGCAACAAGCTTGTATTACCACAACATTGGGCCCCACGCAGGTTTGTTTAGGAACAATTTCCCATTTTTTTGATGGATTACAAATGTCTTGCATAATAACACGTGCAAAATTATCTTGGATAATCCAAGAGAAGGTCAAGCAAAATAATTTATTTCCATTGGATAGAGCTTTATCATTGTAAAGCTCTCACAGAGAGTGATGTCATAACAAAAGCTTGGTCTAAAACATGCATGTCTTCATGGGAGGCTATAAAGAGAGAGAGAGAGAGAGAGATTGATGGTCTAAAACATGCATGTCTTCATGGGAGGCTATAAAGAGAGAGAGAGAGAGAGAGAGAGAGAGAGAGAGAGAGAGAGAGAGATTGATGGTCTAAAACATGCATATCTTCATGGGAGGCTATGAAGAGAGAGAGAGATAGAGATAGAGATAGAGAGATAGAGATAGAGATATAGAGATAGAGATAGAGAGAGATAGAGATAGAGAGAGATAGAGATAGAGAGAGAGAGAGATAGAGAGAGAGATAGAGAGAGAGATAGAGATAGAGAGAGATAGAGATAGAGAGAGATAGAGAGAGAGATAGAGATAGAGATAGAGAGAGATAGAGATAGAGAGAGATATAGAGATAGAGATAGAGAGAGATAGAGATAGAGATAGAGATAGATAGAGATAGAGAGAGATAGAGATAGAGAGAGAGAGATAGAGAGAGAGATAGAGATAGAGAGAGATAGAGATGAGAGAGATAGAGAGGATTAGAGATAGAGAGAGATAGAGATAGAGAGAGATAGGGGAGAGATAGAGATAGAGAGAGATAGAGATAGGGGAGATAGAACATAGAGATGGGACATAGAGATAGAGAGAGATAGAGAGAGAATAGAGAGAGATAGAGATAGAGATAGAGATAGAGAAAATAGAGATAGAGAGGGGAGATAGAGAGAGATAGAGATAGAGATAGAGAGGATAGAGAGAGAGATAGAGTAGAGAGAGATAGAGAGAGAGATAGAGATAGAGAGAGATAGAGAGAGATAGAGAGATAGATAGAGAGAGATAGAGAGAGAGATAGAGAAGAGAGATAGAGAGAGATGGGAGAGAGAGAAGAGATAGAGAGAGATAGAGAGAGAATAGAGAGATAGAGGGGATAGAAAAGAGATAGAGAGAGATAGATAAGAGATAGAGATAGAGAGAGATGGGAGATAGAGATAGAGATAGAATAGATGGGAAAATAGAGAGGGGATAGAGAGAATTGATGATTGATTGATTTTTTGGGTTTCAATTTCTATTATTCATATACATTTACTTCCCTTTTTTGTAACCACCTCATTCCTCACACATCTTTCACTTTTTCCACAGACTGCACCAATCCCTTAGGAATGGCTACAATGAGTGCGTGCCAGCTAACAGCATCATCAGCCATCGACTCCACTACTGGTCCTCTCATGGCTGTGCCTGGCTCTGGCTCAGGTAATTATGCCTTTCAGCTGAAGTTCCTTAATTCTGGTGATGGTGACACTTGACCAGAAGAACGAAAATACCTGATGACTTCCAGGTGCTGTTTCACATAGGTTTTAGCACTTCCCTTTAAAAGTAATAAACAATATTAATAAATAATAATAATAACACTAATGGTAATAATAAATGAGTAGCCCAACATATGCTGGGCTTAATAAAAGTGTATTGGTTCGTATACTCTTCCCGCCATATATGTAGATCAAGACATTTCTTATCCAATCCATATGTATGGGACAAGCTGTTCGCTGAAAAAATCCACATATTGGTCTAGCCATTGTTGACTAATCATCGTGAATGGGGAAAAAGTCATTTGTTATTAACCCATTCATGTGGCCTGAGTTACACCTGTGAATGGTACAAAACATGTGCTGGAGCAGACTTTCTTGGCAAAGAACACCTATGCAGGTGTGTGAGTTACTGAAGACATGAACTCGAAAAGGATATACACGACGAGAGATGGTACTTCTCTCGGCGTTCATTTACTTACTCCCCTATAATACTTTTTTTCTCAGGGATTAGAGTAGTCGTGATTGGAGTTGAGCAGGTGATATGCAGACTTAGTGATCCCTCATGTAGTCAATGGGCTTTAAACCCAATTTTTTTTTTTTAAATCAAGAGGGAAGTGCTAAATTAGTATGGGATATATAGCACCTGGGAAATGGGAGGCATTCATGCTCAGCTTGGGTTGAAACCCAGTTAACCAACAACTGAGAATATGACTTAAAAACACATTTCAACTTTGCCACATATCAGGTCATGAGCGAAAAAAAAAAAATTGAAATTGCTGTTTCCTCATCACCAGGGTGGAGTCCACCAGTACGTGCAGGAGCAACCTGGAGTGACTACTACACCATCGATTTCCTGAAAGACACAAGAGTCACAAGGAAATTGTCTGGAGGCTGTACAGGGACACTCTCCATAAGCTCCTTAAGATGCATACTCACAGAATGGTTATCTTTGTTGACACCTTGAGGGTGAGAGGAAAGTGAGGGTAGAGTGAGAAAGAGATAGTGAGACGTGAGGGAGAACAGTATGGGGAGAGAGAGGAGGAGGGGAGGAGAGGAGAAAAAGAGAAAAAGCGAGAAAAAGAAGAGAGAGAGAGAGAAAAAGAGAGAAGGAGAAAGAAGAGAGGAGAGGAGAAAGAGAGAGAGAGAGAGAGAGAGAGAGAGAGAGAGAGAGGAGAGAGAGAGAGAAAAAGAGAAGAGAGAGAGAGAGAGAGAGAGAAAAAGGGAGGGGGAAGAGAGAAAAAAAGAGAGAGAGAGAGAAAGAGAGAGGAAAGGGAGAGAAAGAGAGAGAGAGAGAAAGAGAGAGAAGGGAGAGAAAAGAGGAGAGAAGAGAGAGAGAGAGAGAAAGAGAGGAGAGGGGAGGGGGAAAAGAGAGAGAGAGAGAAAGGGGGAAGAGAGAGAGAAAGAGAGAGAGAGAGAGAGAAAGAGAGAGAGAAGAAAGAGAGAGGAAGAGGAGAGAGAGAGAGAGAGAAAGAGGGGAGAGAGAGAGAGGAAGAGAGAGAGAGAGAGTGAGAGAGAGAGGGGGAGAAAGAGGGAGGAGAGGGAGAGAAAGAGAGAGAAAAAGAGAGAGAGAGGAGAGAGAGAGAGAGAGAAGAGAGAGAGAGAGAGAGAAAGAGAGAGAGGGGAGAGAAAGAGGAGAGAGACGAGAGAAAGAGAGAGAAAGAGAAAGAGAGAGAGAGAGAAAAAGAGAAAAGCAGAGAGATGAGATTTTCAAGAGAATTTTATTATATTACAGTGTAGTCATTATTATCATGTGCTTCACGTCATCATGCTATAATATGTGGCTATATTCTTCGTAATTCCACCAAACAAATAAAATTTTGCCCTTCATTGCATCTCACTATATTAGAGTATCTCGCAGTGTATTTTACTGTTCTTTATTGTATTTCATTATGTTAAACTGTACTGTAATCTTCTGTACTAAGATAGTGTGCTGTAATGAAAAGACTTTGTTGCATTTTACTGTAATTGGATTGGATTACAGGGCATTGTAATCAACGTTCCTACGAGTGGAATTGTCGACCTGCCCAGTGAGTGTCGCTTCCAGGCTCGGTATGGCAGACTGGTTATTCTCAGCGTCAGCAGTGGTCTTGGGACCGCTGCTGTGCCTACTGGCACCACCCCTGTGGGTGTAAGGTGGGTCTTTAAAGATTTATAAAGGGTGTTTAAGACATAATGAGGGTCTTCAGTACATAAGGTGTAAGCTTAACCCGTAAACGGTCCAAACGTATATATACGTTTTTTCAACATTTGAAAGTATGTAAAAAAAGTAGATCTTTTTTTTGTTTTTTTACATTTGAAAATGTGTAAAAAAATTTGATCTTTTTTTTTTTTTGTTGTTGTATTTGAAAATATGTAAAAAAAACATAGATCTACTTTTGTAGCACTACACATGTGAACTTAGATCTGCTTGGACCGTTTACGGGTTAAATGTGATGAGTGAACATACATCCACACCCACACATAATAATATACTATCTATAGCCCACCTTTCTCCTTATATCTATTTATATCTTATCTTTGCCCTTAAATTGCACTTGCTATAATAAGGTTAGATAAGTTTCCCGAGGTGCTTTTAGTACAAAATCATTCATTTTTATATTAACATAAATGAAAAAATACATCTTTAAATGTGTTACAAAATTTCAGAAAGGACTTAATTTTAAAGGAGTTCTTGCTAATTGACCAATTTTACCTATTTGGCACGACATGTATGTATGTATGTGTATATATATACAGTAGGGCCCCACTTATATGGCAGGTTAGGTTCCAGGCTACCGCCATGAAGCAGAAATCGCCGTAAAGTGGAACACCTCTTCTTTTCACTTATAAATGCATACAATTACTAGATAACAAGTTTACACTAACATATATTAAGTTCGTAAGTTTATTCAAATATACACAAATGCAGTTACATAGATTATCATACATAGCAGCATATGTGTAAAGTACCTAGGATAAGCCAAAAAAGTCAGAGTGACTTATTTCTATTCGGGTTAGCAGTAGAACTAGGCATTAAAAACAATAAAAAAGTAAAATACACATACAGTGGACCCCCGCCTTACGATATTAATTCGTTCCTGAGAGCTCATCGTAAGCCGAAATTATCGTAAGGTGAATTAATTTTCCCTCAATATTTGCACCAATAACTCATTACAGTTGTGACCAGATGTGGAAGTGTGAATTGCTCATTACTCTATAATTTGTTTATGATTGTAGCCATGTATAAACATAAGTAACCATTCTTACAGAATTCATTACCTTTGTAACTTGTGAGCTCATTACCTTTGTACCTAGTTCAGCTATCAAAACTTTAGGGGCCCAGTCCCTGGACCTATTACGTACCTCTGTAATCTGTAAATACCTTTGTAACTTGTCATGATTGTGACCAGACCTACCTGGAGTTCATTACCTTTGTAAATTGCGAGTTCATTATCTTTGTAAATTGTGAGTTCATTACCTCTGTAACTTGCTCAGCTATCAAAACTTTGGAGTACAGTCCCTGGACCAATTATGTACCTCTGTAATATTTTGACTACCACCCACAGGATGGGTATGGGGTGCATAATACACATATTAAACTAAACTAACCTATAAGAAATAATGGAAATTAAATTAATCTGTTCCTGACACCCCAAAGTATGAAAAAAAAAAAATTTTATAACATGAAATATTAATTTTAATACACACAAACTGAAGAAGACATGCACAATTCTCTCTCCCCTCCTCTGAAGCAGTTTCCTCAGGTCTGGCCTCTTGCTGTTGAAGATGATCTTGCAGCTCTTCAGTGGTTAGTTCTTCATTGTCCTCCTCCACCAACTCTTCCACATCCTCTCCACTAACCTCCAATCCCAAAGACTTCCCCAATGCCACAATGGATTCCACAACTGGCATACGCTTCTCAGGGTTAGCCTCATACCCTTCAAAATCCCTTTCTTTTATACATTCTGGCCACAGTTTCTTCCAAGCAGAGTTCAAGGTTCTCTTAGTCACTCCCTCCCAAGCCTTACTTAAAAGGCTTACACATCTTGTTCCTCATCCTCATATCCGACATAGACAAGGATGTCAGCCACAGCACCGTGTCTTCCTTTGCAGATGACACTCGAATCTGCATGACAGTGTCTTCCATTGCAGACACTGCAAGGCTCCAGGCGGACATCAACCAAATCTTTCAGTGGGCTGCAGAAAACAATATGAAGTTCAACGATGAGAAATTTCAATTACTCAGATATGGTAAACACGAGGAAATTAAATCTTCATCAGAGTACAAAACAAATTCTGGCCACAAAATAGAGCGAAACACCAAAGTCAAAGACCTGGGAGTGATCATGTCGGAGGATCTCACCTTCAAGGACCATAACATTGTATCAATCGCATCTGCTAGAAAAATGACAGGATGGATAATGAGAACCTTCAAAATAGGGAGGCCAAGCCCATGATGACACTCTTCAGGTCACTTTTTTCTATCTAGGCTGGAATATTGCTACACACTAACAGCACCTTTCAAGGCAGGTGAAATTGCTGACCTAGGAAATGTACAGAGAACCTTCACGGCGCGCATAAACGGAGATAAAACACCTCAATTACTGGGGGCACTTGAGGTTCCTAAACCTGTATTCCCTGGAACGCAGGCGGGAGAGATACAGATTAATACACCTGGAAAATCCTAGAGGGACTAGTACCGAACTTGCACACGAAAATCACTCAACGAAAGCAAAGACTTGGCAGACGATGCAAAAATCCCCCAATGAAAGCAGGGGTGTCACTAGCACGTTAAGAGACCATACAATAAGTGTCAGGGGCCCGAGACTGTTCAACTGCCTCCCAGCATACATAAGGGGGATTACCAACAGACCCCTGGCAGTCTTCAAGCTGACACTGGACAAGCACCTAAAGTCGGTTCCTGACCAGCCGGGCTGTGGCTCGTATGTTGGTTTGTGTGCAGCCAGCAGTAACAGCCTGGTTGATCAGGCTCTGATCCACCAGGAGGCCTGGTCACAGACCGGGCCGCGGGGGCATTGACCCCCGGAACTCTTTCTCCAGGTAAACTCCAGGTAAACAACTGAGGATGCTAAAGTGATCTTTCCAAAACACTCTTAGTCAATCGAGTGTCTGAGGTCACTTCAAAGCACTTTTGAAACATAGCTTTTGTGTAGAGTTTTTTGAAGTTTGAAATGACCTGCTGGTCCATGGGCTGCAGGAGAGGAGTGGTATTAGGAGGCAAAAACTTGACCTTAATGAAGCTTATGTCCCCAGAAAGTCCCTCTGCCAAGTCTGAAGGATGACCAGGAGCATTGTTTAATACCAGGAGGCACTTAAGGTCCAATTTCTTTTCCATTATGTAATTTTTCACATTGGGGGCAAATGCATGGTGTAACCAGTCATAGAAAAAGTCCCTAGTGACCCATGCCATACTGTTTGCCCTCCACAGCACACACAAGTTAGCCTTGGCAACATTGTTTTGCTGAATGCTGTAGGAGTTTCAGAGTGATACACCAATAAAGGCTTCACTTTGCAATCACCACTAGCATTAGCACACATCAGAAGAGTAAGCCTGTCTTTCATAGGCTTTTGTCCTGGGAGTGCCTTTTCCTCTTGAGTAATGTAGGTCCTGCTTGGCATTTTCTTCCAAAACAGGCCTGTTTCGTCGCAATTAAACACTTGTTCAAGTTTCAATTCTTCACTGTCTATGTACTCCTTGAATTCCTTCACATATTTTTCAGCTGCTTTTTGGTCTAAACTGGTAGCTCCACCATGCCTTATCACACTATGTATGCCACTACGATTCTTAAATCTCTCAAACCAACTTTTGCTGGCTTTAAATTCACTCACATCACCCCTAGTTGCAGGCATTTTTCTAATTAAATCGTCATGCAACTTCCTAGCCTTTTCACATATGATCGCTTGAGAGATGGTATCTTCTATCTGTTTTTTTCATTTATCCACACCAATAACAGTCTCTCAACATCTTCTATCACTTGTGATCTCTGTTTCGAAAACAAACTTGCACCTTTTGCAAGAACAGCTTCCTTGATTGCCGTTTTGTTGGCCAAGATAGTAGCGATGGCTGATTAGGGTTTGGTGTACAACCTGGCCAGCTCCGAGACATGCACTCCACTTTCGTACTTAGCTATTATCTTTCTTCATTTCCATAGTAATTTTCACTCTTTTTACCACAAGGTTGGCACTAGAAGCTTTCTAGGGGCCCAAGGTGACTTATTTACAAGCACTAAAAACACTGTGATAATATGAAATGTACCGAATGTATGCTTAGATGCGACTGCATTGGCTGGCTTGTAAACACTGACATGCATGGGGCAGCTGAGGCCAAGTGTAGGATGCATTCCGGACGAACCATGTGAGGCGAGTTTTTTATCGTGAGGCGAGGCAAAATTTTTGCATTCAAATGCTTTGTATGGCGAATTTAACGTAACGCGATGCGTTCATAAGGTGGGGTCCACTGTATAGTATACTCAATACTTACCTTAAAATATTTGTCGTCTTAATCTAGGGTGAGACAAGTAGTATTTATTGTAAGCGCTACAAGGACACCCTTAAGACTGCTCTGAAAGCTTTCAACATCAACCACACCATGTGGGAGCTGATAGCTCAGGACAGGAATGGCTGGCGAGCAGTTGTCCAGAAAGGGGCAACATCCTGCGAGGCAAGCAGAATCTCACTAGCTGAGCAGCACAGGCAGGCGAGGAAGACCAGAGCCATCAGACCCCTCAATGCCGCCACCCTTCCCTGTTGACACTGCCAGAGAACGTTTCGTGCGCGGATTGGCCTGACAAGTCATCTGCGTACCCACCAACTTCGACCCCAGGATGACTAGATGGTCCTCGTCGAATCGACGGACAAACAACAACAACAACAACAACATTGTAAGAAATCAAGTGTGGTATGTATGGTAGCCAGCTGGGCTACCATACCAGGCTACCCCATCCACACATAATATTCTATAAAATTTAAGCATATAAAATGCATATACAGTTCACTCATTACTTACCTTAAAATATTTGCAGTCTTAATGTAGAGTCAGAGGTGAGTAAATGAGATAAAACAAATGAGAGAGAGAGAGAGAGAGAATGGGTACATAAGAGAACACTTGTGGAGTTATGTAAACAAAAAGTATACATGTCTGGTTTGTGTACAAGTTACATTGTGTACAAATTCTCTACGTTTATTTTTTTTTGTTTTTTTTTTTGTAACAAGTCGGCCGTCTCCCACCGAGGCAGGGTGACCCAAAAAGAAAGAAAATCCCCAAAAAGAAAATACTTTCATCATCATTCAACTCTTTCACCTCCCACATTAACACTTTTTTTGAGAGGTCCCAAACACAACAGCTTAGAAGATAATTATAAAGATACACAAATATCTCCCCAAAACGCAATATCCTGACCCCTTTTTTAGAGTGCAGGCTTTTAAATTCCCTTTTCCCAGGACCAAGTCCGTAAAATAAAAAAAGAGGAAACACCCCCATTCTCTGTAACACCTTTTTTTTTAGAAGATGATGCTCTGATGAAGCATAAAAAAGAAAAATTTTTACAGTTACCCCCAGTAACTCATTTTCTCTTATGATGGACTAGAGAAAACGTTATTCCTGCCATTACTAATATAAATTGTCTGGTTCCCACATCTCATATTTGTTTATTTATTCTACTGTTGGGTGTATTTATCATCTTTATATGTTATTTATTGTGTATATTATATAATTTTGAAAAAAAATATCATAGCTGGATTAATAAAAAGTGTATATTAACATAATATATGACATTTAATGAGACTCAATGATTACTGAGTATTATTGTTACTACTAATATGGCATCTCGAGACATAAGACACTCTTACTGATTTTAATGTGTACCTGCACGCCAGCACAGTGTGTAGGTTTATTTAGGTACAGGTATACATAAGTATAATTATCAAGAGTATATATAAAATAACTTTTAAAAACACTTGAAATTTTGGAGTTTCCAGACACAATGGAGAGACGTGGTGCTTAAGAAGCTCATGGAGAATGTAAACAAACAGGGTTGGTTGCAGAGAATGTATTAGAAAGTCAGGTGGGGGGAGCTGTATAGAGAGTTTGGGTCATAATTTGAAATGACCGTATTAACGGAACACCATAAAGTGAAACACTGTAAAGTGGGGCCCTACTGTGTGGGGTGTGTGTGTGTGTGTGTGTGTGTGTGTGTGTGTGGGGTGTGTGTGTGTGTGTGTGTGTGTGTGTGGTGTGGTGTGTGTATATATATATATTATAAAAATATATATATATATATATATAATAATATATATATATATATATATATATATATAAAATATATATATTAACACACACACACCTCCCATCCGACTTATGACCGAGTTTGGTTCCAAGAAACCAGTCGTAAGTTGAAATGGCCGTAAGTCGAACTTTACTACTGAATATCAACAAAACATTTTTGTAATGACTTTATTTTATTGTTTTATTTTGGTATTTCATGTTTTACTTTACTTTTTATGTTGTTATTACTGTATTTTATACTGTAAGGTTTAGGATAAACACTGTACAACATGACTCAAGAAATCATAATGACACAATTGCAAACAACGCGACGGGCTGGAGTTTTGAGACTCTATGACCGCCGGTTCAATCTAGGCCGGGGGTATGGTTTGACTGTGTACAACACAAATAGTTGTTTATTTCCCAGAAATTTGGCATAAAAAACACGGTCATAAGTCGAGTGGTCGTAAGTCGAGCAGGTCGTAAGTCGGGGTAGGTGTGTGTTTTGTGTATATATATATATATATATATATAAAATATAATATTATATATATATTTTTATATTATTTTAAATATATATATATTAAAAACATAATTTTTTTTTCCAAAAACCGGTGTTGGGGGCCTTTAAAACAAAGTACAACAAAAAAAAATAAATTTTTTTTTTTTAAAAAATTTTTTTACTTTACATTGATTACTTTTTATTGTTTTTAGGTAAAAAAACCCTTAAAGATCAAATTTTAAAACAAAAAAAAAAAATTTTTTTTTTTTTTTTTCAATTGGGGCCCGGGGGGGTTTGGGGGGGGGGAAAAAAAAATTTTTTTTCCCGGGCTGGTCGGGGTTTTGGTCACAGGGAAAGTGGGGAGGGGGGGTTGTGTTTAATTTTAAAAAATTTTTAAAATTTATAAAATTTTTTTTTATTTTTATTTTTTTTTTTTTATATAATTATATATATATTTTTTTTTTTTTTTTTTTTCAACAAGTCGGCCGTCTCCCACCGAGGCAGGGTGACCAAAAAAAGAAAGAAAATCCCCAAAAAGAAAATACTTTCATCATCATTCAACACTTTCACCACATTCGCACATTATCACTGTTTTTGCAGAGGTGCTCAGAATACAACAGTCTAGAAGCATACACATATAAAGATACACAACATATATATATATATATATATATTTTTTTTTTTTTTTTTTTTTTCAACAAGTCGGCCGTCTCCCACCGAGGCAGGGTGACCCAAAAAAGAAAGAAAATCCCCAAAAAGAAAATACTTTCATCATCATTCAACACTTTCACCACACTCGCACATTATCACTGTTTTTGCAGAGGTGCTCAGAATACAACAGTCTAGAAGCATACACATATAAAGATACTCAACATATCCCTCCAAACTGCCAATATCCCAAACCCCTCCTTTAAAGTGCAGGCATTGTACTTCCCATTTCCAGGACTCAAGTCCGACTATATGAAAATAACCGGTTTTCCCTGAATCCCTTCACTAAATATTACCCTGCTCACACTCCAACAGATCGTCAGGTCCCAAGTACCATTCGTCTCCATTCACTCCTATCTAACACGCTCACGCACGCTTGCTGGAAATCCAAGCCCCTTACCCACAAAACCTCCTTTACCCCCTCTCTCCAACCCTTTCGAGGACGACCCCTACCCCGCCTTCCTTCCCCTATAGATTTATATGCTTTCCATGTCATTCTACTGTGATCCATTCTCTCTAAATGACCAAACCACCTCAACAACCCCTCTTCTGCCCTCTGACTAATACTTTTATTAACTCCACACCTTCTCCTAATTTCCACACTCCGAATTTTTTGCATAATATTTACACCACACATTGCCCTTAGACAGGACATCTCCGCTGCCTCCAACCGTCTCCTTGCTGCTGCATTTACCACCCAAGCTTCACACCCATATAAGAGTGTTGGTACTACTATACTTTCATACATTCCCTTCTTTGCCTCCATAGATAACGTTTTTTGACTCCACATATACCTCAACGCACCACTCACCTTTTTTCCCTCATCAATTCTATGATTAACCTCATCCTTCATAAATCCATCCGCCGACACGTCAACTCCCAAGTATCTGAAAACATTCACTTCTTCCATACTCCTCCTCCCCAATTTGATATCCAATTTTTCTTTATCTAAATCATTTGACACCCTCATCACCTTACTCTTTTCTATGTTCACTTTCAACTTTCTACCTTTACACACATTCCCAAACTCATCCACTAACCTTTGCAATTTTTCTTTAGAATCTCCCATAAGCACAGTATCATCAGCAAAAAGTAACTGTGTCAATTCCCATTTTGAATTTGATTCCCATAATTTATATATATATATATATATATATATATATATATATATATATATATATATGTATATATATATATATATATTTGCTCACTATACATATAACGTGTGTACGTGTCTTTCTCCCTGCAAGGTTTACGGATTGGTACGGATGTTACTTGCAGAACACTACAAACACATGTACAGGACAACTCTCCACCATCCTCTCCACAGATGTTACCAAGTGGCGTCATGCTGCGTATGATAGCGTTAACAAATTCCTCTACTTCTGTGATGTCTCCCTCGACGGCACTCATCTCCTGTGCTTCTGCACTCCTGACGGTGTTACCTGGAATGGTGAGAAACACTCCTATTACTGCAAGCTTGTTAGGGGTCATATTGCACCTGGGAAATGATAATTAGGTTTGATCCTAGTAACTGTAGAAGAGGTTCAGTTCCTCTGATTAAGGTCTTAATCAGCATCAAAGAAACTGTTTTGAGCAGGTATTATTGTATTAATGGATAGTATTAAATTCACAGGGTTTATTTAACTCCTGGGGAATGAGAATTAATGAGGTTTTATACAAGGAGACGATAGCCCCAGCTCTTGGCTCAAGATGTCTTCGCATCTCTAATGTTTAAGGCACTGTGTTAAAGGACTGACTTAACTAAGATGAAGAACAGAGGTGTTGATGTCATGCAAACTCGTGTAGAAGAGCTTAACTCGTAAGGGCTGTACAGTATCTGTAGAAGGGAAGTATAACAAGTCCTTCATACACAGACCACTATATAATGGACTTCAAAAATACGAAGCAAAATCCGTTGGGTTAATCAATTTGGAACCAGTGGATGATGTCTGCTATTTACATAGTTGTCCATTATTATTATATTCATGGCAAAAGAATTTCACCTTTATCCAACACTGTTCTTATTTTCAGCCACCTGCCTTCTCCCTCCCATTAGCTGGTTATATAGATTGTGTATAGTAATTAGGTTTAATCCCAGAAAAGAGAAATCAAAAGCTCTTTATGTACATCATGGCCTCTCCCTGGGAAGGGTGATGATATATAGGGCTTTTCGGGAATGTAAACATAAGTGACAGTCTTCCCCAATCTCTCTGGTTAAACTATGATTCTGCTTTTGTTTATTCTGTTGTGCCATTTTGTAATTAAGTACATTAAGCCGAAGTCCTCCTGTGATCGTAATTATTATATAAATAAAAATAAAGAAGAGCGAAAGAAATAATAAAGATAATAATTATACATGAAAATAAAAACCTGAAAATTTCTTTCATCAAGCATCTTTCACTCTCCCCAACACAGCTATGCCATCTTATATCGGTGGGCTGGTTGGGTTTGATACCACTACCAGCATGATGTATGCTATGGACACAAAATGGGTGGCCATGGTGGGTAGCATAGATTGTGTCAACTGGTCCATTGTATCTGCTGCCGATCAGGCCAAAATTAATGCCTCAGCTACCCCTCCAACATCGATTCCTGGCAAACCTGCGGCCACACTCGGTTCAGTCATCATTGGACCCTGGACAGGTAGGACCTATATCTTCTCTCTTTAACTGTGACTTCATCAAGAGTGCACTCATTCTCCTTACATCCCTTCCTTGCTCTATTCTCTTAATATACATTACATCTACAAATTAATTTTAATGCAACATGTTCCCAACATGTATTTCTAAGGTTTAAGATATTTGTCTCTGAATGTTTTCAATGTTTCATTAATCAAAGCTTGCCTAATCTTGCACCTTCCTTTTCTCCCTCCATCAGCTGACTTCACTGGGCTGCAACTTGGTGGACAGTACATGGCTAAGTGGGCCAATTGCTGCTCCTAGGAGGCCAGTACATGGTTAAGTGGTTCGGCTAATGCTCTTATCTTGGGCATGTTGACCCAAGCTACACTTAGAACTGATGTACATGGCCAAGTGGGCCACCTTTTGCTTCTAGGAAAGCAGTACAAGACCAAGTGGGCCAACTACTTCTCATAAGAAAGCAGTATGAAGGCATGTGGAGTACCTGCTGCTCACATACATTCCTCCCTTCCATCAACCATTCAATAAACACCCTCCAGAACATGCCCTCCAACATAACCACTGAAACACTCAAAAACTTTAAAACCTGAAAAATACATTTAAACTATACCACACTAGTTTACCTACATTCAAACACTACCCCCTGCAACATAACATTTATCAACGCCCCCCAACTTCATCCCCTGAAAACTTTTTCCCCAGTCCCAAACCTCAAGGGGAGCCTCTGTTTGTTTTATCCCCAAAAATTTCAACCAAACACCCACTTTTGGTCACTCCCTTTTTACACCACTTCCCCCACCACCGCCCGCAAGTAAAAGAAACACAGGGCAAGCAAACATATAAAAATAAAAGGTTACCCCCCCAACCAATTTTAAAAAAAAAAAATGTTGTGAATTTTTCAGCACGCAGTTGAAATTTTTTTGAAACCAGATGGTTTTTTGGTTAAAAATTTTTTTTTTTCGTTTCTCGGTATTTTCTTTGGCACGAAGTACTAAAAAATTTTTGAATCGTTTGGATTAGTGCCCCTTTTAAAAAAATTTAGTTTTTAAAAAATTTTTTGAGGAATTAGAAAAATTAAAAAAAATTTTAAAAAATGAGAATTTTTAAAAAAAAAAAATTCCTGGGTAAAATTTTAATTTTTTTATTTAAAAAGTTTTGTTTATTTTTAACCCTTTTATTTTAATAGTTTATTATTGTTAAAAAAAAGGGATATAATATTATTATTATAATAATATATATATAAAATATTATATATATATATTAATATATATATATAAATAATAATATATATTAAAATAATATAATATATAATATATATTTTAAAAAAATTTTTATATAATAAACAATTTAAAAAAAAAAAAAACAAAAAAAAAAACAAAATAAACATTAAAAAAAAACATTAAAATACAAAAAAAAAAAAAACCCTTTTTAAAAACAATCAATAAAAAAACAAAAATAAAAAAAAAAAAAAAAAAAACAAAAAACAAAACAAAAAAAAAAAACAAAAAAACAAAACAAAAAATAATTTAACAAAAAAAAACAAAAAAAAATAAACCCCAAAAAAAATTTAACAAAAAAACAAAAAACAAAAAAACAAAAAAAAAAAAAAACAAAACAAAATAAAAAAAAAAATATAAAAACAAAAAACAAAACAAAAAACAAAAAAACAAACAAAACAAACAAATAAACCCCAAAACAATTTTTGAACAAAAAATAAACCCCTTTTTACTAATAGAAAAAAAAAAAAAAAAAAAATTTACAAAAAAAATTTTAAAAAAAAATAAAAAAAAAAATAAAAAAAAAAATAAAAAAATAAAAAAAATAATTAAAAAAAACAAAATTTTTAAAAGAAACAATAAAAAAAACAAAAATAAAAAAACAAAATAAAAAATTTAAAAAAAAATAAAAAAACAAAAAAAATAAACAAAAAAAAATTTAACAAAAAAATATTAACATTAAAATAAAAAACCCAAAAATAAATTTGAAATAAAATTAAAAAAAAAAAAAAAAAAATTTAAAAATTCATTCAAACAACCCCCCCAAAAAATTTTAAAAAAGAAAATGAACTTAAAACCCCCCCCTTCAAAACCCCCCAAAATACTTATCAAATAAAAACCTTTCCTCCAAATTTTTATGGAAAAAATCACCAAAAATCCCCCAAACTATATACATATATACATATTATAACATATATATATACATATATACATATATACATATATACATATATATGTATACATATATACATATATATGATACATATATATATATATATGTATACAATATACATATATATGTATACATAATATATATATATGTATACATATATATATATATATGTATACATATATATCATATATATGTATACATATATATATATATATATGTATACATATAATATATATATATAGTATACATATATTATATAATATATATATAATATATAATATATATATATATATGTATACAATATATATATATATGTTATAACATATATATATATATAATAGTATACATATATATATATATATATATGTATAACATATATATATATATATGTAAACATATATATATATATATATATGTATACATATATATATATATATATAAATATATATGTATACATATATATATATATATATGTATACATATATAATATAATATGTATACATATATATATATATATGTATACATATATATATATATTATGTATACATATATATATATATATATATATATATATATATATATATATAATATATATATATAATAAGCAATGTCGTGACACTGGGAATTTCCCATAAAAACGATCTTTGGAAAAAATGAAATGGTGATATCTGTAAATTTTTACCTCTCACTGAGGTCTTCAGCAAACCATAAAGAGTACAAGTGATCAAGCATATACACAAGGGCAGGTTACCTGGCCTAAGTTACATGATGAGAGTCAAGTGCAAAACTTAGGATGCAGGAGCAAAAGGCACAACAAAATTTAAAAATAAAACCTTTAGTTTTGAGTTCAGAATATCATCTTGCTAGGCCAATAGAAATAGGTTGCTATAACTGCCCTTGCTCTGAAGTCACTGTTACAACACCTGATTTGGTTCGTTAATGTGACTTACGTTATGTTACTTCAGTGACAAATCTTTGAATAATGGTACACACTTTCCATCAGGCAGCTGCTATTGAAGTCTGACAGGATTATCAGTTATTACTCCCTCACATATTCTTAGATATCTTCTGTATACCAAGAACAAACTTTTCAATCTGTTGAGGGCCATAGTGTAAAATCGAAATAAACAGATATCTCGAAACTTGTTTTTATTCTCCAAAGACACACGGATACACACGTACAAACACACACAGGGAGAGTGACCTAGTAGCGATCAGTGAAGAGGCGGGGCCAGGAGCTCGGACTCGACCCCCGCAACCTCAACTAGGTGAGTACAACTAGGCGAGTACACAGATGGGACGCAGAAACAAGGTCACCATTGAAAGTTGAATACTCAGATGAGTCAGAGAGATGTTAGGAAGAATTTTTTTTAGTCATAGAGTTGTCAGGAAGTGGAATAGTCTGGCAAGTGATGCAGTGGAGGCAGGAACCATACATATTTTTAAGATGAGGTATGATAAAGCTCACGGAGCAGGGAGAGAGAGAGAGGACATAGCGATCAGTGAAGAGGCAGGGCCAGGAGCTATGTCTCAATCCCTGCAACCACAAATAGGCTAGTACACACACACAGGCGGGTGCAGACACACACACACAACACACAATTATTTTTACATGAAAACTTATTTGAAGCTGTTAGCAATATGCAGATTTTCGGATATTCAGACTGGTGTCACCGAAAATGACAGTCTACTATCCTTACCACTGGACCATCATTACCCTAACTCGATCACACAGTTGTGTAATCCAGGGCAGACTGAAGCTCTAGTTCACTTCACCTGTTTGAATCCCCTGAAGACCCTGGAAATTGTTTTGACCACCCATTGCATTTATATATACATATACGTATATATCTGGCAGTTTGGAGGGATATGTTGTGTATCTTTATGTGTGTATGCTTCTAAACTGTTGTATTCTGAGCACCTCTGCAAAAACAGTGATAATGTGCGAGTGTGGTGAAAGTGTTGAATGATGAAAGTATTTTCTTTTTGGGGATTTTCTTTCTTTTTTGGGTCACCCTGCCTCGGTGGGAGACGGCCGACTTGTTGAAAAAAAAAAATATATATATATATATACATTATACATACACACACACACACACTCATACATATGAGGGACATTTGGTAAGTCATAGCAACAACAGTGTACAAGTCGATATAGGAATTAAAAGCTCATAAAAATTCTAAATCAAATTACGTCTTTAGTTTGGACAGATACGCAGCCGTCCAAAGGTAATTAATAAGAGAATGCTTACATTTTATTTGCTGCACTGCTGTCTGTTTCATGAGCCCTTTAAGATATATTTCGAATTTTCAGCATTTGTGAAAAAATGTAATAGCCATAGTTTATGAAATGACCTTTGTTTTTAGACAAACGATCTGAACAGTTGTGTGAGACAAGCACGGGGGATGGAAATCTTCATCTCAAGTACTTTCACACTTCTCATTGCTTTATCAGGAGGTATGCAATGTTGCAAGAGTAGCAACATTGCAAAGCTCCTGATGACGCACAGAGACTCTTGAAAGTATCTAAGCAGAAGATTTCCATCTCTTGTGACTTGCATGTAGTATATGCACAAAATTCTCCGCAGCTTAGGCACCAATGATGATGTCAGTGATAAAGATGTGATAAGCCTGCATTCTTATTGTTATTTTGTCTCTCTATTATATATAATATATTTGTTTATTAATTAGATCTCCTGTTATAGGTCACAAAAATAAAATTTAAATTATAGGTCTTGTTCTATATTTCCTTGACGGAACTTGTTTCCAAGATTTATGAGTAGTGTGGCCCGGTGGCCAAAGCTCCCACTTCACACACGGAGGGCCCGGGTTCGATTCCCGGCGGGTGGAAACATTCGACACGTTTCCTTACACCTGTTGTCCTGTTCACCTAGCAGCAAATAGGTACCTGGGTGTTAGTCGACTGGTGTGGGTCGCATCCTGGGGGACAAGATTAAGGACCCCAATGAAAATAAGTTAGACAGTCCTCGATGACGCACGACTTTCTTGGGTTATCCTGGGTGGCTAACCCTCCGGGGTTAAAAATCCGAACGAAATCTTATCTTATCTTATCTTAGTCTCCAGATATATTACTCCATTATGAAACTAAGAACAAAAAGGCACAATACTGTGACTGGGAAATTACACAAATAATTATTCTAATAATTAGAAAATTAGTAATACAAGGAATTAATATCAATGAATGCTGGTAAAATTATAATAATAATAATAGTACTAAGATAAGATAAGATAAGATTTCGTTCGGATTTTAACCCCGGAGGGTTAGCCACCAGAAAACCCAAAATCAGTGGTCATCGGGACTGTCTAACTTATTTCCATTGGGGTCCTTAATCTTGTCCCCCAGGATGCGACCCACACCAGTCGAC